TTCAGCAGGGGGCTTTCTAATGAAAAAAGGTACCATTGCAGAGACCATGTGATGTTCAAAGCTGCTATTCCCACTCAGATAATAACGAGCAAGGTCAACCTCTGCTGGTCAGGTTCAGTGTTTTGAAATTACATTTTGGTCTGTGAGGCTTCCCTCCGACATCCCAACCAACCGGTCTGCACGGAGCACACACGCCACTACAGAAAGTTGCAGCAGCAATTAGCTGGTGAGCTGACACAGCAGGCAAGGCGTGAAACAAAATTTCAAAAACTGCCAAACTTGATCAGCAAGGGTTCCTCGCATGCTTGCCGTGTCATTTCCAAGCAACAAGAGAGCAGCATCTCAGAAGCTTAACCCCTTTTATGGTCGGAGGCTTGCAGAGAGCGGACACAGCCAACACCAAACCCTACTCTCCTCCTGCCTCCCTTCCAGCAAACCCCAAGAAGCCTGGGCTTTGCAGGCAGAAACCACCTGCAGAGCTGCTCTCTTTTTGGAAATTTCCCCACTGCAAGACTGGGATGCTGCTTCATTTCTCTATGTCAATTCCCAGTACTTACCAAAAAATGCCAAGATACCTAGTTCAATTTGCTCAGGGGCATGTGGTGTCTAACTGGGGCTGTCAAGAAACAAAGGGCTCACCTTCAACAAATTCCATGTGTGCTCTGTGGGCAAGGATTAGAAAATGAGAAGTCATGTTGCAGAGGTAGGAAAATTAACAGCTGGACGCTCACCCTTTTAAATACACAATCACAAAGGGAATGCTGACTGATTACCAAATTCTGAAAGTACCATCAAGTTGCTCTCTCCTCCTCTGTTGCTAGCCATCCATAGCTATCTTTTCTTAGACACAGTAGATGACGCCTTTCTATTTTTGGCTACCTACACTCCCTTCTTTGCCCTTTACAACTTAATAGACTTGCTGCTGGTAAATACAAAACAAAACCTGTTCTGAGTGCTCGGAGCTCCAATGCACATTAAAAAATTATAGACACCACCTCTGGACATACTGAAATTTATGGCTGTGTCTAAAGAGGCTGTTATTGCACTGAGTAATCTAAACTTTACCTCTATTCACAGTCAGACAAACTGGCTTTAATCAGCCTGTATCTTCTCAGTCGGGGTCTTTCTGCAAAATTATTCAGCTGGCTTTATAACACAAGTGTCCACTAAGTACACCTCTAAATTTTTCTAAGCCATTTTACTGATATTTCTATTCACATGGCAATCAGCAGCAGTTCCTCTAAGGGCACTGTTCATAAAGCCTCATTTCCAAGAGAGCCTGGAACTTTTTATAAATGGTAGACCTTTTAAATAACAGTTATCTGCAATGGTCCTATGGCGCACGGCTCCGCGGTGCTCTGGTCTGCAAGACAGCTACTGGTCCCCTCTGAAAGCATGGAAGTTCACCACCTAATTTCTTTAATGCAACTCTAAAGGTTAATTGGTCTGAAAGAGTAATGCGGGACTGCTGGCTAATGATATATGCCTTGAGGCTTTGCAGCTTGCCTGTATTTTATAGAGTCAAGTCCAGAGCACAGAACGCAGGTGATATCACCAGGACTTTTCAGACCCCCTTCCGACTTCATGCAGCCCCCCTCGGGCTCCCCTCTCCCACCCGCGCCCCACATGTGCCGGGGGAAAGCGGCGGGCGCGGAGGGCGGCTCTCCTCCACCTGTGTTCCATGCCTCGTTAGAGGGGCTCGGAGAAGTGCCGCCGCTGCGCTCCTCATTACCGCGGAGAACTAGAAACAGCCCTAATGAGGAGCGCGGGAGCGTACAGTACGGGCGGGGAGGAGGGACGTCCTCCCACTCTCCCCAAGGAATCTGGCCAAAATCTTCAATTTGCCATTTATGACAGCTAATTAGTTATTCTATTCAAAATCTTTGCTTTAAATAAAAGAACTAATTATACACAAAGGTCAGTCCCCCACCTCCTGTGAAGCACACATAATTGGCTTATTTCCCCAACATAGTGTGTGTGTTTTACACAATGCTTGCAGGCAGATGGCTTTAACTCTTACCCTCTG